CCAAAATCCCATCTTTGGGTTTGTTTTCCTGGACAAGGATGAGATTCTAAAGTTCTTTGATCTGATAGAGGCGAATAAGTATTTGACAGAGACTCTTGAGTGGGTGTTCAACCTAGTAGCAGCAGAGGTGCATAGAGGGCATCTAAGGGCTGATGAAGTGGCTGGTATTCTGGATGCAATCAAAGTTCAAGTCTCCTTCAGAGAGTGGATATTCAAGGTCTAGAGAACCATCAAGTCAGATCTGCAATTTGCCGTAGATGACTATCCAGACTCTGCTGTGGACTAATCTTCAGTAATAGTATAGGCCTGAGCAATAATTCTTCTAATCATTTCTTTCATGTAATTCTTTTTCAGGGGATGAGTTTAATCTCCTCTTGTAATTCTTTCAATTAGTCATTTCTTGCATCCTTTTGTCCATTTTTACTTTTTCATACTTAGGGGGAGATTGTTAGCTCTAATATTTACTTCATGTAAAAGTATGAAAAAGTATTCTGTAAGTGTTGACAGAAGGGTATCTTCCACAGAAGACAACAAAGGACCAGCAACAGAAGATGTTTCATCGTGCAAGTCAAGAATGACAGAACCTCTGATGTCTCTCACAGAGGTTCTGGAAAATGGTCCTCTGACAATAAGATCTTACAAGTCTACAATAGTAGAGCCTCTGAGATGTCTCACAAAGGGTCTGCGGATTCGTCTTCTGTGAAGATCCTGTTCTACTATTTTTCAAAGGTTGTTAGCTGCATGTCAGAAAAGTCGTTAGATTTTAATAGACTTTATTTGGACGACTTAGATGATTTCACTTTCTAGATCATGTCAGAAAAGTCGTTAGGGTCTAGTATAAATAGCTTCTTAGGCACTTGTATTATGTGTGCTTCCGAATTGTAATCGTCTATATTTTCAATCAATTAAAAAACCTTTGAAGCTATTCTATTGTGTTCATCTTTTTCATATTAATCTGTGTGTTCTTGGTTAATTACTCTGTTTTGTTCTTATCATTGTTTCCACTGCACTGTAATCGTCTTAGAGATCATTCAGAGTAAGAGTTCAAATACCAAAGCTGAATTTACAGGTCCTAACAATAGGGTTTAAGAGTCCAGTCTTTAGTGGTTTTAGAAAATCATGCATGCTGAGAGAATCTTTGTGTCTCAATAATGTCCATGGCTTACCCTCATCCAAGAAGTATATAATCCTAATTTTTTTTTTGTTTTAGTATACTGAGTTAGGATCATTATGACCAAAAATCAAGATTTTTGGATGAGTTGAAGGGTCTCAAACAAATTTTACCAAAACAGTGGTTATAGCTTTCAAAACAGAAAATCCCTTCTTAATGTTAAACCCTTTTGAAGGAATTATACTTATTATTATTCAGTGGTTCATAAATAGTTTTAAAGGTAACACATATGGCTAGATTTTTCCAAAAAGAATCACCATATTTGGGTTTATAGTTTGGTAGTTATGGGTGTTTAAACATGCATGTGGAAATCTGTCAAGTTTAGACATATTGCACACTTATTTTGTAAAACTTGGTTGAACCCCTAAATCACATGTTTTTGGGTGGGGTTAGACTCTTTTGAAATCTAACACCTTAAGGTACACTCTATAGGTAAAATTGCCTGAGTTATAATGTGTCTTCTAAGAGTTATAGATGAACAATGAGACACAAAATTTCTGACCGACCACTTTTGCACACCAAATTTGTTTTGGGTGTTGCGAGGTCATAAGGTCATATTTTCTCATGATTTCACTTGGGTTTGAAAGCTAATACACTAAATATTATTGTGGAAAACGATTCATGCTTATTGGATCCATACACAACCAGATATGGTCGTTCCAAACTCATGCAATGAATCTGTCCAAGAGAAAAAAGTCATTCTTTTATGCAAAAATGGACTTTTATGCATCAAAATTTCCAAAAATGATGATTTTATGAGAGGAAACCACTCTATTATTCAATATTAAAGTAAGAATATATAAAATACAATATTCTTGTTAACAAAAATGAAAGAGAACTCAGATTCCATAAGAAACACAAAATGCATGAAATGAAGGTTTTTCTTGCTTTTCAAAAGTTCTAGATGGTTAGGTCACGGATTTTCACCATATTAAGAATATTTTTCATGTATTTGGTGTAAAATCTACTCTTAGAACTTAGAATGAAGAACACCTCTCCTTTGTAAACTTAAAAGTATGAAAATGACAAGAAAATGGCACTAAAATGCATAAAATGAAGCCAAAACACTAACAAGTGGTCTTACCTTTGATTACAAGAAGATGATCTTAAATTTCTTCAAGTTTTGCTTCTTAAATCTATTTTCTTTTCTATGATTGAAAGGGATGAATTTTTCTTTCTTGGGGAAGAAGATGGAAAGAGAGAATTGTAGGTGAAAATTGAGGGAGAATAAGGAGATGAAAGGTTGCCAAATGAATGAGGAATGAATATTTTTAAAAATTCAAAATATATTTATATGGAGAGGGGAGGGGCCGGCCACAAGATGGGCCTCTAGGCCTTGCTCTAAAAAAATTTGTAATAAAATTAGCCCATACTTTAATGTGTTGGGTATTTTTTATGAGAAATTGAGGAAAAAGCCCAAATTTTTATTTTATGAGATAAATAAATTCATAAAATATAATTTAAGTAAAAATATTTAAAATATGTAGACTCTATATTTTATGTAAGTTTTAAAAATTATTTGGAGTGTTTGGCATTTTATAAGGCGATTTGGTTTGTTACGGGTCATAAGAGTGTTTTCTACGCAACCTACCAGGATTCCTAACTACTTAAACTCTAATCGCTCTACTTGAGTGTTAATAATATTTCTAAAGTGCTATTTAGCTACTAACCTGGTATTTAAATTTTCAGATGTCACAGCTTCCCCTTGTTAGAGGAATTTCGACCAGAAATTTAGCTGTTAGTATCACCGATTGGTTCTTTTATAAAAAGTTGCGGGTAATTATTTTTCATAAAGTCCTCCCTTTCCCAAGTGTACTCGGGTCCATGCCTTGAATTCCATCAACCTTTTAGGATTGGAATCTTACTATGTCTCAGTTGTTTGACTTTATGGTCGAGGATTTCGATCGGCTCTTCAACGAAGTATAACCGTTCATTAATTTGAATGTCTTCCAAAGGTAGAACCAATGATTCGTCGGTTAAACATTTCTTAAGGTTTGATACATGAAATGTATCATGGATGGCACTAAGCTCTTGAGGCAAGTTTAGTTTGTATGCAACCGGTCTCACTCTTTCGAGTATTTCAATTGGACCAACGTACCTTGGGCTAAGTTTTCCTTTCTTTCCGAAGCGTACAACTACTTTCCATGGAGATACCTTTAAAAGGACTTTATCACCCACTTGAAATTCCAACAGTTTCCTGCGGTTATCAGTGTAGCTCTTCTGACGATCTCTTCCAGCTTTAAGTCTTTCTTGGATGATCAAGATTTTGTCAGTTGTCTCCTGGATAATGTCGGGTCTAGTCAGTTGTCTGTCATCAATTTCCAACCAGCTGAGTGGGGATCTACATTTACGCCCATACAAGGCTTCGTACGGTACGCACTGGATACTGGTGTGATAGCCATTGTTGTAGGAAAATTCAACCAATGGTATATGAGTATCCCAACTACCTCCAAAGTCTATCACACAGGTTCATAACATATCCTCTAGCATTTGGATAGTCCTTTCCATTTTCCCATCCGTTTAGGATGATAGGAAGTGCTTAAGTCCAACCTCGTGCCTCGTGCCTTTTGAACTGATCGCCATAATCGTGAAGTAAAACGGTTATCTCTATCTGAGATGATAGAAATAGGTACTCCATGACGCGATACGATCTCATTGATATATAACTGTGCAAGCCTTTCTGTACTGAAGTCTTCTCGAACAGGTAAAAAGTGCACGAATTTCGTAAGCAATTCCACTATGACCCAAATTGAGTCATGTCCTTTCCTAGTCCTAGGTAACTTAGTAACGAAGTCCATTGATATCTGATCCCACTTCCATTGAGGAATCTCTGGTTGCTGAAAGAGATCAGACGGTTTTTGATGCTCAGCTTTTGCCCTTGCGCATGTTCACGTTCTTCTTCATTCCTGGCCACCAGTAATACTCTCTTAGCTCTTTGTACATCTTATCGGTTCCTGGGTGAATTGAGTATCTTGAGCGATGTGCTTCCTCCAAAATTGTTGATCGAAGGCTGTCGTCCTTTGTTATCCACACTCTATCTCTGAAGTAACGCACCCCATCTACTCGAGTTTCGAATTCCTTCTCTAAGTGGTGCAGCGTCTCGTTCTTCAGATTCTCCGTTTCAACGCCTCTTCTTGATCTTCAAGAATTTGCGTTTTTAGGTTCTTTTGAATCAGCATCCACATGGCTCGTATCCTTGACGGTTTTACCCTTTCTTTCCGGCTTAATGCGTCTGCTACCATGTTAGCTTTCCCCGGATGGTACTTTATTTCACAGTCATAATTGTTGAGAAGTTCGACCCATCTCCGTTGCCTCATATTCATCATCTTTTGGTCTAGGATATGTTGAAGGCTTTTGTGATCAGTGAAGATGGTGCATTTGGTGCCGTAGAGATAATGTCTCCAAATCTTGAGTGCAAACACCACTGTTCCTAGCTCCAAGTCGTAAGTAGTGTAGTTCTTTTCATGAACCTTGAGTTGCCTTGATGTATAAGCAATGACCTTGTCATTTTGCATCAGCACATATCCCAAGCCTTGGTGTGACGCATCGCAGTATACCACAAAATTCTTCGTACCTTCTGGTATCGGTGCGTGACATAGCTTATGCTTGAGCAATTGGAATGCTTCTTCTTGCTTTTCTCCCCACATAAACTCCTTATCCTTCTGGGCTAATGTCGTCAGTGGTTGTGCGATCTTGGAGAAATTTGAAATAAAACGGCGATAGTAACCTGCTAAGTCGAGAAATTGGCGAATTTATGTCGGGGTCCTTGGGGCTTCCCACTTCTTTATAGCCTCAACTTTGGCCGGATCAACATGAATTCCCTTCTCATTTACCACATGACCAAGGAAGTGCACCTTACGAATCCAAAATTCGCATTTGGAGAACTTGGCAACAATTTCTGATCTCCTAACATCTCAAGTATCAACTTTAAGTGTTGCTCATGCTCCTCCTTGTTTTGCGAATAGATCAGTATGTCATCTGTGAATACAATCACGAACTTATCCAAATATGGCCTACATACTCTACTCATTAAATCCATGAAGACTGTCGGCGCGTTAGTTAACCCAAAGGGCATAACTAAGAACTCATAATGACCATAACAAGTCCTGAATGTCGTCTTAGGAATATCTACCTCACGGACCCTCATTTGATGGTATCCAGATCGAAGATCGATCTTTGAGAAGTAAGTGGCACCTTGAAGTTGGTCGAGAAAATTGGTTCTTGATGGTCAGCTTATTGAGTTCCCTATAATCGATGCACATCCGAAGGGACCTGTCTTTCTTTTTAACAAATAGTACTAGAGCTCCCCAGGGTGAAGAGCTGGGTCTGATGAATCCTTTGTCGAGTAGCTCCTTACGTTGTTCTGACAATTCTTTCATTTTTGATGGTGCCAAACGATAAGGTGATTTGGCCACGGGCGCTGCTCTAGGAATTAAGTCAATGTGGAATTTGACTTGCCGTAACGGGGGTAATCCTGGCAGATCATCAGGAAATACCTCAAGAAAATCCCAAACTATGGGAAAATCCTGGATGTGTTTCTCTTTGATTCCCTTATCCACAATGTGGGCCAAAAACGTGACATATTCCTTTTTCAAGTATTTCCGCATCTTCATACTCTCAGAACAACATATCTCGGCTTGATTTTTGGATAGCCAATCCATACCCACAACTACATCAAAGCTTCCTAATCTGATTGAAATAAGGTCTATGCTAAAGTTTTGTCCGGCTAAACGTAAGGTACAATTTTTGATTACGTCTTTAGTTCTAACTACCTGTCTATTAGCAAACTCGATAACGAAATCTTCTTTCAGCTTTTGTGACTTTAAACTAATATTTGGTCTAAATTCTAGTGACAGGAAGCTCCTATCTGCTCCAGAATCAAATAATACAGATACGTAACGATTATTCAGGAAGAATGTACCTGTGACCATGTTCGGGTTTTGCCTAGCTTCTTCTACCCCAATCTCAAATGCTTGACCTCGTGCTTGGCCTCCTTGATTTCCTTGGTTGACTGGTCGTGTTGGGTTAGTAACTGGCCCTCGGTTCAGTCTCGGGCATGCATTCCTGAAGTGATCCGGACTTCTGCACTCGTGGCATGTTCGTCTCCCTTCGCTCCTGCAATCTTTAGCGAAATGACCTCCTTTGTTGCATCTGAGACAGATGATGCATCTCCCGCCATGGTGATTATTGCACTTATCATACATAGGGTAAGTTTCTTTGCCCTTTTCTGCTATCTGTGTCTGAGCCCCAAACTTTCTTATCACTTTTTGGGCCTTACCGCCCCTCTCGCTATAGTTCTTTCTCACGGGCTCCTCCATTCTTCTCTTACCCTTGACTTTATCATTTGCAAATAATCCTGACCGAATAGCGTTGTTGGTGAGTTTTATCGCTAAGTTCACAGCGTCCTGAAGTGTTTTTAGATTGGCCGAAGTCACATTCCCCCGAATTTATGGAGCTAAACCCCAGACATAACGGTCAATTCGGTTCTCTTCGGGTGATACTAAGTGTGGCACAAATTTTGCCAGCTCTCATGTAAGGGAGCAGTGTATGAGTCTACATCACTTCCCTTCATTTCTTGATTCCACAGTTCTGCTTCTAACTTCTGGATCTTGCTCCTCGGACAATACTCTTCCTTGAGTAATTTCTTGAATTCCTCCCACGTAAGTCTATTGGTTACTTCCCGGCCTCGGGTTTGTATCTTGGTATTCCACCACGTCAATGCCCGTTCTTGCAATAAACAAACTGCAAACTCCACTTTGCTCCCTTCAGCACATTTGTTGATATGAAGGACGAACTCCATACCTTCAATCCAAGTAAGTAATCCCACGGCTCCTTCTGTCCCATGGAATTCTTTTGGGTTGCAAGCTCTAAAGACTTTCTATGTGCAATCTTTATGTGCTGTTGTATCTTGGTTGTTTGATTGGTTAGCTTTCAAGCCTGCTGCTACTTGGCTAACTATATTAGGAAGGGCCGCAAGAACTTGCTCGGACACAAGTCTTGCAATTTCGGGTTCTTCTCTTCTTGGAGGCATATTTCTAAAGCACATATTTTAAATCGAAGTTTGGTTATTTTTACTGTTTATCATTGTATCTATGTTATTGAATTATGCACGACATAATACAAGTGCTTTATTGTTAATCATCTAAACATGCATCCATGGCAATATATAATAACTTGTAATAATAAAGGCATTCAATCATTAATCAACATAATTTAACCATTCTACAATAAAAACCCATATCATCCGTAAAGAAAATAAAGACGAGCAACAAAAGAAAGAAATTGTTCATAAGTCACGGCTACATGCCTCAAAAGAAGATTATAAGTTTGATCTATCAAAMGCTTAGTAAAATAGAGTCTTCTAGCGCATTAGACTCCAAACAAGTAGTCCCATCACTATCGCCAAAACTCTTGCTAACACCGCCAAGTAGGTATATAACCTCCTAATCGCTCCCCTAGCAGTGTTAATCATCTCCAACGAGCGATCCATCGCATCGCCTTGAGTGCCTAGGGTCATAATCACCCCGTCAGCCAAGTGTTGATGATAATCCAACCTAAGCTCACACATCTTTAGGTCTTAGGCGATGCCCAAAACCCATAGTTTCTCTAAGGTGGTCATACCCGAAGAGCGCTCCGACGAGGCCCTGGTAGTAGGTGGGGGCGTCATACTACGGGTGCACGACTGAGATGACTCCCTGACAGCTTCGTAAGGGGAGGAGAAAGACACCCTTACGGGCGGAGGAATGCTCTTTCGGGCGGTGGCCCGAACTCTAACTCCATGTGCCGCTAATGGATGCGCGGGCATAGCGTGAGGCGGCACGGGGGTAGGTGATCGTGTCGGGGACTCGGCGACATCGTCGTCATTGTCGTAACTATGCTCGAAGGGGTCGTACTCTTCGGAGTTCGAGTATTCATTAGTTGACAACATAGTGCTACGAAATTTAAAAAAATTTAAATTATTGAACAAATCATAATAAATGTCAAAAAGATGCAATTTTTATGCAAACCCACACATGCAAGTCGTGCTTTTCTTATTTGAGTAAGAAGTTCTAAACTTTAGACGAACACCTAACATAACCGGTCCACGTCTCTCCTTATACATGCTTAATTAGACATAGGTGATCAGGCTCTCTCTAATTAGAGTATGCTAAGAAGGCACTCATTCTAGTTATATTAGTAGTATGTTTGTTTTGAGTTTTTGAGACTCTTTTAAGAAAATTATTTTGTAAAGTTTTGGGTTTTAGTGTATGGTTTTCTTAGAAAACCGGTATTCTCTATAACCTACAGCTCTGATACCAAATCTCTCACACTCCGCTAAAGCGGAAACACGAGGTATGGCAGATAGAGTCTCATAGCGATAGAGTATAAATAACACTACCATATATTATAATTACATTACATCACTAGTCAAAGTTTACATTTCCACAAATACATCCCCAAAACGACAAGTTTGAAACTTATAACGATGATATAAAACAAAAAATAAATAAAAAAATCGGAGGTGATGTTTGAAACGCGGTTATTTTCATATAATCAATTTGTATTCACGATTTAATCACATTGTATATTTCATACAATCATCAACTACTTTTATACGTGCTTTTCCCCAAAATAATGATAGATTTAAAAAGGGGCCGTGAATACTCACCTTTCCTTTCACGGTGTAGATGGTTGAGTGATCGAATGGGTGTGCCTTGGTATAGTCCTTTTAGTAAATCCCTATAAAAACGAACAGTTGTCAAAGTGTTCGGTTTTAACTCTTAAAGGTTAAGGTTACTATTCCACCTTTACGTCTTATATAATGCCTCTTAATTTTCTTAAGATAAAAAATCAAGTTTTAAGCACTTTATATGCTTATTATAGGGTTTAAGAGTCCAATCTTTAGTGGTTTTAGGAAATCATGCATGCTGACAGAATCTTTGTGTCTCAATAATGTCCGTGGCTCACCCTCATCCAAGAAGTATATTTTCCTAATTTTTTAATTAGTTTTAGTATGCTGAGTTAGGATCATTATGACCAAAAATCAAGACTTTTGGATGAGTTGAAGGGTCTCAAACAAATTTTACCAAAACAGTGGTTATAGCTTTCAAAACAGAAAACCCCTTCTTAATGTTACACCCTTTTGAAGGAGTTATATTTATTATTATTCAGTGTTTCATGAATATTTTTCGAAGCTAACACATAAGGATAGCTTTTCCAAAAAGAATCACCATATTTGGGTGTATAGTTTGGGAGTTATGGTTGTTTAAACATGCATGTGGAAATCTGTCAAGTTTTGACAGATTGCACACTTATTTTGTAAAACTTGGTTAAACCCCTAAGTCACATGTTTTTGGGTGGGGTTAGACTATTTTGAAAGCTAACACCTTAAGCTACACTCCAGAGGTTAAATTTCATGAGTTTTGATGTGTCTTCTAAGAGTTATAGATGAACAATGAGACACAAAATTTCTGACCGACCACTTTTGCACACCAAATTTGTTTTGCGTGTTTTGAGGTCATAAGGTCATATTTTCTCATGATTTCACTTGGGTTTGTAAGCTAATACACTAAATAGTATTATGGAAAAACATTCATGATTATTGGATCCATACACAACCATATATGGTCGTTCCAAACTCATGCAATGAATCTGTCCAAGAGAAAAAAGTCATTCTTTTATGCAAAAATGGACTTTTATGCATCAAAATTTCCAAA